TGTGGAATGACAAAAAAAGCGCTCAAAAACGGATTAAATATTTCCATTGCCTGAGTCGTTAAAATTTATTCAAACGATACATTAATCGAAATGAAAATCGTCAATGAATTCAATGGCACACCGAAATCAAATTATGTAGCTGTCGTTCAAAGTTCAACCAAACAAAACATTGACGGAAGTCGAATTTAAAATATAAAAATCGCTTGGCATTGAATGTGTTGTGTTGGTTTTGATCATGGTGATGGCATTGAACTAAACGGGAGAAAAAATCATAATCGAATTCATGAATTTCATTTGTTGGTAAAACACAATTTGAAAATGCGCTTGAAATTCATGGCATCAACGTCAAATATATGGCAATGATGATCTCGAGTAAGTAGCAAACGAAATGCCACAAAATTTGCGCATTTCCATGTCATCACCAATGAAAGATAGAACACACAAAGAAATCGTTTCGTATTCTTTATGTGATATTATGATTTTTAAAGTCAATATTTGGTTTAAATATTTAGCAATACATGAAAAATTTATAAATTTCGATCGAATGTGCGCAACACACACTGAGATCCGAGTGATGGCTGCTTGTGACGACAGGGCGGAGGTGAAGCGCATTGCTGGAAAGCGATATATTTAACGCAGTATAACGTTTGTGATGTCTCGATTTAGCGCCATTCATTCGAAGGCTGCTTAGATGCTGTGTGTGTGTAATGTGTATGTATCAAAGACTCTTAAGAATGGCAAAGAATACGGTGCTTTCCTTCCGGATTCACTTTTTTCCAGCGTACATGGATATGGGAAAATCCATAACACGAATAAACAATATGCAGAAAAAAAGCGAACGATTTGCATCATGTTTAGCATATAAATGCGCACTTTATCTCCAAATTCCCCAAACAGATACCATACCAACCATAATAATTTGTTTGAGCTGCGACTTAGTTTTTCTTCTTGTTCTTCTTCTTCGGTTTAGCTGATGCCTCGCGAATTTAAGGCTAACAAATACATGCGTTAACGCAAGCGATATCAAATCATTTCCCGTTGAACCAACGCAATAAATATGCATGCCTCCGATGTGTATGTGTGATATATTCAAGCATTTGCATGGCATGGATCATAACAGCTTTTTATACACTTCAATTAACTGAATATTTCTGCCAGCACAAAGTATGTGCGGAATTGCCAAATCTGATAATTTATGCACTTCTTTTCTGCCATAGACAGAGCTGTTATAGGCACCCAATCGGTGCCGGCACTTAGATTTTGAGTGCTGCACCTAGTACAATCACAAAAAATAAATTCCGATAATTTATAATTTCATTTTTTTTGTCAGCAATATAAAATCATATTATTTCTTTAAAAAACTAGCAAAGAAGATTTAAACTGAGTGTTCTGTCAAATTTGCGCACCAATACATCCAATTTCATGTTCATCCATGCTATTCTTCGTTTATATGTATAGAAACTTCTATTAAACGTTCAACATCTAAGCTGACTGACATTTGTGTACGCCAATCAAGCGACAAACAAACACGCACAAACACACACCAACAAGCGCATGACGATTGAACATTATTTCTGTCCTTACTCGTTTGCAGGCGATTGCTACATTCATATAGCAGCGTGTGAATGAAATGCAAACAGTCAACGTGCCGTTCTCTCTACTTATCGTAGCGGCAAAAACATCTACTGTATTAAGACTCATAATAAAGCAAGCGTTTGACTGTATGCGAGAACAAAGCTGAAGGGGCGATGAAAGCTCTAACGCACGACAAAGTAACTTTGACAAATGATTTATATATGTAATGGTGCGTTAAAAGTGACAGAACAGAAATTGGCATCTCAGCTTAAATGTAGTTTGAAAATTTTCAAAAATACTCAAGAATTATACTTTCAAAAAGAGCTCGGTGCCGCACCGATTCAAGTGCCCGCACTTTTGCAGTGCCTATAACAGCTCTGGTCATAGAAATATCGCGCATTATGAGCACTTTAGATATAAGCTCGTTGAATAAAGTAGAGTGAAAAAAGCATCGAGCGCAATGAAAACGGATCCAATTCGAATAAAATCGTGAAAAATGTCAGGTCACTGAATTTTAACGGTGTTTCGTTCAACTTTTTTCTTTCTCTCACAAGCATTCGTGGATGGTTTGTGGGTGTTGACGAGCGTCGAATGACAAAGACAACGGATGCTTTTTTTTGCATTTAGTTCCGATTGCTAACAGTAGACGAATATTCTATGAGCACGTGATTATGATGACGCAAATGAAAGTTTTTTTTTCGAAAATTTTCGACGCGCTCGCTCATTCGCTCGGTTCACTCTTTCCCATTCTCACACTCCGCCAACTTTGCGCCGAAAATGCGACATTGAACATGTATTTATCGTTAATCATGGACCATTTTGCCGTCACTCACATTGAGCGGTATTGGGTGCGAGTGCAAAGCGAGCAACTTTTTAAAGCTGTTTTTATTTACATATGCCATAAATGTCATATTTGCGATATTTGCATTTAAACTTCTGCATAAATGAATATGAAATGGGAAACTCATTCTCGATTCCGTTCTTAACTCGCACCTTAACTTTGGCGCTTTCCCATTGAACATATACACTCTTTGTGACATTAGCGCAACCGCCCTGGCCTCCTCCGCTCGTTCGCCACAAATCTCCTCTGCACAAATGTGAATGTCGACACAACACAGCCGTACGCATTGCATGACACAACAAAATTTAATACCCAAATGATTGTGTTAATAGAAGAATGTCACCGAATTTTTCAACAAAGAAGAAAATAATACAAGCGCGTTCGCCATTTTTTACACTTTGCCATTGTCAATGTTTCGGCTTCAATGTGACGGGGGGCGCACACAAATATGTTGGCGATAAAAATGGAAGACTTGAAGGAAAAAACGTGTGAATTTTCACGTTGGAAATATTTTCACTTTGGCAAAATATTTGTTCAATTGATTCAAAACATCAAATTATCATGTTTGCTTATCGGTTCATTTTTTTTTCTCTTCATGCACAACGACACGCGACAATGAATTGGAATTCTCTTTTATGAAAATTGCATCGATTCACTCGGTGGATATTTTCTGTTTCTCTTGTTTCACATTTTTGTATCAATCTCCATTGTCGCATATTGAATATGAATTCATTAAATTGGAAATTTGATTTCTCCAACGATTTGCATGGCAATGCCGAGTTTGGTGGATCGCATTTCTATGTTGATCGAAATCCATTTCGGGATGCTGGTGTGTTGTTGTCTGAATTTTTTTTTCTTTTGCCCGCAGTTCATGTGTGTCATTGATATAAATGCTCGTTTACTTCGTTGCTATCACGGTTTTCCACAGTGAGCGTATATAAACAAATCTCAACTCAGTTCAGTTCAGTTTTTACTTGCAGTCGCACTCGTGATTGTCTTTTCGGGTACAATTCGATTTTGGTGTGTGCGACTGTGTCTTCTGTGTTTATTCTCCCAATCGAGTTCTCCGAAAATGTGTGTCAACAGTGTCGATAGAATCGATTACTTCTGCTCCAAGACATTGGTGCTACGCTGAACAAGTAGAAAAGACACATTCTACGCAAATATTTACTCATGCCAAGCACACGAACCCAATTCATTGATTTTGTCGTTTGGTTTTGCGTCACGCTAAAATTTAAATTAGTTCTTTAAGCTAAAACTTACAAGTAATCGAATTTGCCGACGGCCACGACCACAAATAAATACAAGGATACACGATGCGAAGCATTTTAAATCCGGAACATTCGAAATGGCTCTTTGTTTAGCCAATTCGGAGAAGAATCAGGAAAATGGTTTTCAATGCTGATGTTAACATTGGCGCACGATAAGGATAAATCGTGCATTTGACATTGTTCGACAATCGTCAAACTTAATTTCGAATTCCGAATCTCATTCGTATGCTTTTGAAAGATACACGTCTGTGTACTTTAAATAGGTCAAGTCAAAATATTGTTTATGTTGGACCGGATATTGAAGCCAATACCAGACGTGTGCAAGGGGGGGGGTATTCCGGTTTTACCCCCCGTCTAGGATTCCAAAATGTGGACCCCCCAGCGATTTGGAAAATTTGACACTAGATATAATAGATTTTCAAAAGTGAGGACCTTTTTTTTTTTAGGTCTTCACTTGTTTTTTGACACCCATTGGCAAAATTTTAGACCCCCATTGTGGAATTTTGACTGTTTTACACTAGATAGAATCGATTTTAAAAAGTGAGGACCTTTTTTTTTTTT